CCTAAAGAGATGGTATCATATCCACCAACAGACCCACCTTCAGATTCTAAAAATATGGTATCAACAAATACTGATTTGTCTCATGTAGAAAAGACGGACCCCCACAAGTCCCTGAGTAGCTCCGAAAATAAATCAAAAAAGACTGGGAGGGGGAATCCAAAAGCCAAGTCTGTTCATATCTCTGAATTGCCTGATGTTATCCCCTTGGGATCCATTCAGATTAAGCCAACGCTGAAAAACTCAGTCGAAGGCACTCAGGATAAAGGATTACGTGGGGAGGAATTAAAAGCATTTTATGAGAAGGATGTTAAGGAAGACGAAAAAAGTAAAGCAGAGACAGCTCGCTTATTGGCTACTACCTAATAGCTCATTATAACGTATTTGCAATCTTCTACATGCGTCATTGAGTTCTGCTTTAGATTTGAGAGTATCATACAACATTCTTTCGAGCTCCTCATAACTCACTTTTTTTTTAATGTCTCATCTTCACTTAAGTCCTGCGAATCTTGTGAAATACAGTCTGGAGTCGAAGAAGCATCGCATTCAGGAGTAGTCCTCGCACAATTCACCTCAAGTTTATTCTTGACTTTATGCATAGTGACTGGAATAATATAGTCTTTTCCATTAAGAGGAATCTTTAGCTCATTTGTTTTCCAATCTAATGCGCAATTGTATTTCTTTAAAAGTTGGTTGGAAAATATTAACGTCGGCTTGTGGTATTTCACTACGATAAAATCTTCATAAATAGTACAACCTGGGGCTAGAGTAATAGGCAAATTGCGGACAACTCCAACAGATTCAACAGGGACAGTAGCAATACCACTGAGATCATGTGTTTCAGATTTATCAATTTTAGCTCTCACTCGTTCAACGATATTTTCTGTTATAATGGGAGGCTCAGCTCCAGAGTCAACTGTCATAGCTGGAATCTTTAAACGTTTGATTTTACACTTTACCGTCGCAACACTTGTTTTTGGTTCCCTTCTCTGGACGAAATCTATTTCCATGGGATCATCTAAATATTCTTCCTCCTCTACACTAGACTCGCCCGGGTCTTTGGAACTTAAAGAGTTATTGTTTTGTACCTCCACTATAGCCGGAATAGGAGGCGCTTGTTTTACTGAATCGGCTTTATTTGAACCAGACTCCTGAGGGGTAGTCTCGTGAGCCGGCTCGACCCCAGGTAAGAGGAAGGGAAAAAGTAATTTGAGCTCACTTTGCATAATTTTACGAACAGTTTCTTCCAAAATAGTCTGCTTATTTTTTCTAGGTTTATTAGACTTGGAATTTTTAGTAGAACGGGATGATGATTTCTTGGAACTATACTTCGTGCTGGAAGACTTTTCGCCCGAAGACTTCTTGCCTGAAGACATCTTACCCTTGGAGTTTGGACTCACTTTTTTTTTGACTTAGCAATATTAACAGTAATATCACTTTCAGAATCGGAAGAAACGGAAGAGCCTGTATCAGAATCAGAACTATCATCAGATGAATCGTTAGAGGTGTTAGAATCTGAATCAGAACCCGCATCTATAGTAGCGAGATTAACTTTAGCTTTCTTAGACTTGTTCTTCTTTTTCTTCTTCCGAGTGCATTTGCGAGAATTATGTCCAGTTCTGTTACAATTAGAGCATCGCTGTTGCACTTTTATAGCCTTTTTAATAGATTTAGCCACGTGTAAACTTAACTGCCTTTTCGTGAGCCCAGCAAGTTCTTCATCGGAATCAACTTCAACCTTTTTCTTTGGTTTCGGTGGCAACTCAGGATTGGGGACAGGGATGAACTCTGGAGTTTCTCCTGTTATCCATGACAAAAATCTACCAATATTCTCATCCCGTATATTGTTATATGTTCCGGCAGGGGATGGGCGAAATTGTGAGGGAGTGGGTGTCATACCTGATTGCTGGGATTGCTGAGGCCCTGAAGATGCTACGGTAGTTTTTATCAAGTTTTCGATTTCAGTTTTACTCATCCCTGATTTGTTAGTTTCTACATATGGATTGGCCGCCGGAAAAATTGGAAAAGATGACGGCGCGGTCTTTTGAGATAATGTAAATTTTTCCGCTTCAGCCAATGCTTCTGTAATATTATCCTGAGTATCATGAAATTTGGCCATCATTCGAAGATTG